CCCCCCCCCCCCCCCCTCGTTCACATTCACTAGTGAGAAAGAAATCGCGAACCAATTGCAGGAAGCCTGTACGAACCAGGTGCAATGGGCAAGGGGGGGGGCGCGTTAGAGAGCCTCAAAATTTGTCCCTCTTATTCACGCCGCAAATTTGCCTTTCATTTTGGCATGAGTGTCTCAGAGCGAAGGGCACGCAGCCAAGAGGTGCCCCTGTGCATGATTGTTGGAGGAAAACATGTCGAGGGCGGAATGGGACAGCAGCGAAAGCCTGATCGCTCTATCTACGGGCGTCTCCAAGTTGACAGTATTCGAGGCGCATCCCAGCAGAACTTTATTTTTCGGTAGGGGTGTCAAGTTCGCCGGGGCCCCGACTCGTATTGGCCGTCAACCGACAAGCGGTCAATACCCCTCGTGGCCCTACACAAGTGACGGGAAACGCGATCCCCTCTACCCCCCCTCCCCCCCTCCCCCCCCCGTCCTGTCGGTCTCTCTTCACTAACCAGTAGAGTATGACAAGTCGAACAATGCGGATATATTGACAGACGAAGGCGAGCCGTCGGAGCCGTTGGGGACAATGGAGGCGGCGGAAGAGCTGGGGAATCAGATTGACCAAGAGCCTTCACCGGCCGCGACCCCCCCAGAGCTGCACAACGGCGAAGAAGAGCAACCACAGCAGATCTCGCAACCTCCAGTCAGCCCTGCAGCAGTGCCGGTGTCAGGTGCGGACGAATCCAGTCTCGAGTGTTTGTGCCCCTCCGGCATCGATGTCATGCTGGCGGGCGCCCGTGTTTTGGTGGTGGTTTGCGTGCGTGCTGGGCGCACACAAGCAGTTGATTGACTTTCGTCTCCAACTTACCCTCCCTTGATGGGACCCACATACTACTGTCGCGGTTGTGATAACGACGTTCGTGTTGACGTTTCCTCGATGTTTGTACGTGTGCCACTTTCACTCGTGGTTTTTGGACTCGCACGTAACGGTCGCCGCTGATGCCCTTTGATGGTGTTTTCTCGATGAAAGCGCTCCCACAGTTAGCCCTGCGCCTGACCCTGTTTTCGGGCCCAAAATTAGGTCACACGGAGCTTCTTTCGAACAGCCCATTCTCTGAAGTTTGTATTTCGTGGCCAATCAATCCCCGCATTGTTGGCGGCCACGTCAGTTCAACAAGCGAAAAGACTGCACAATCCGCTGTGGTGGGTCTTTTTTTTTTTTTTGAGTTGATGACGACATAGGATTGCTGTAGCCGCCCCCGTTCCCACCCGGCTGTGAGGCCGCAGAGACATTGCGTAGAGAACAGAACATTCACCGCTACTCATGCCGCAGGAACGGTCGCAAAAGCTGCAGTAGTGCTGCCGGTAGAGCCATTGCGCGCTGGCACAAATTTCAGACTTGTGCGGATGAGCGAAAAAAAATACATCCGATCAGCGAGAGCAGGTAGGCCTGATTTTACAGCAATTCAGCAAAGGAAACTGAAGCCGCCGCCGCCCTTTCCGCCCCTCCAAGGGGTTGAAGATACACTGCGAGGAAAGCAGGGAAGCCACTGCTAATATGGCGCAGCAACGGCAGGAAGAGCTGCAGTGTTGCGCCGGTGGTGGAGTCAGGCTATGTCGCCCAAACGTCAGTTGAATGACGCGTCACACACATACACAACGGAAGAGGCAGCGATCTCACCCCAAACCACTTGACACCCAAGCGGGTTTGCAACGACCAAGCCCGTCACTGCCCGTCTATGGGGCTGGCTCAACAGACATCAACAGACGTTGCACGAAAAGTGAGAAAACCACTGCTACTCGTGGCGCAGGAACAGCATTAACAGCTGCAGCAGCGCCGGTGGCAAGGCCGTTGCGCCAGTGCAAACTTTGGAGATAATGAGCGGAAAAACAAACACCGACCAGAAAGAAGAGCAGGTGATCTAATTTTTTCACTAGGGTACAAGAAGGAAGTGAGGCCGCCGCTGCCCTTCCCGCCCCTTACAAGGCGTCAAAGAGGCACCGCGAAGAAAGCAGGGAAACCACTGCTACCAATGGCGCAGCAACGGCAGGAGGAGCTGCAGTGTAGCGCCGGTGGTGGATCAAGCAATGTCGCCCAAAAAAGTCAGTTCGTTTAAAAAAAAAAAAACGCACGAAAAAATCGATCCCACACAACAAGTTGAGCTTCTTCCGCCGTCGCGCTTGCTTCGCCCCCGTTCCCAAATCCCAGACAGACCACCCCCTCGCACCCTTCCGCCTAGCATTGCTCCCTCCAGAGCTCACTCCCTAGATGCTCGCCACGCAGACGGCAGTGGACCTCCGCGCGCCCTTGACCCGCCCGTCGACACAGAATCGGCTCAGCTGGTTGTGTGGGTCATCCACCACATTTTTTTTTGCGTGACTGGCGGGGACTTTTGCTGGACTCTTGGACCCGTGCGTCACCCAAAACCACCCCATCTTAGGATTCGTACTGAGAGACGTCCGCGGAGCGGATTCTGGAGCGGTTCCTTGTATCACCTCCGTTAGAACGGTAGCTATGTTTTTGTCGGTGGCGATTTCCGCAAAAGCTCCAGACCCTCGCCGGCGCGGTGAATTTGCCCGGAAAATGATTGATTTCTGAGGGTTTGATGGGATAGAACCCACCGATTGAAAAAATGACCGACAGAAACACGCATATGTCCTGTTCACAGGTGTGTGCTGAACCGCAAGAGCCAGTTCGTTGGTGGCATGGAGCATTCCGCGTTCTCCTCTCGCTGTGTAATATCAAGTCAATACAAGATTGTCGACCGGAAAAGCGGAAAAACAAAGTTGTTGTGATTTTTCATCGAACAGCCTGACCACGCGCATACACCAAAAAGGGGGTTCAGGCGCGGGGCTAACAGTGTCTGTCCCCAACGTTTATGTCTGTTGATTCCCGCTCCTCTGGTTACCGCGTGCCCTGAACAGACGAACAAGCGGTGGAGCAAACGGTTTTCTCGTGGATGAAAACGGTCACGTCGGGCACCTACGACGCTCCCAGGCAAGCGGCGGAACTGTACGCTCCGGACGGCGTTTTCTGCGGGACGGAGATCTTCGCCCCCGACGATCCTCTGTGGGGATCGGCCTCGGAAGTGGTCCGCAACACGCCCGAGCAGATCTACGCGTATTATGTGAGACGTGTTGGACAGACCGTTTCTGGTTGCAAGCACCATATTGGAATCCTCTTTTGAAATGGTAGATGTGCGGTGCGCTGTGTTGTGTGTATGTGGGATTCGTACCGATGTCGCGTAGTTGATGACGTGATCGAGAGATGACTCTTAGATTTTCGGGGGGCAGTAGACGACTGTCGGGTCGGCGGATACCCCTCGGCGTTGCTGCTGCGTCAACAACTCAGCTCCCATGAGACGACCGCCTTTCCCAGCTGACATTTCCCAAGCCAGGGCTTGCGGAGCATGCTTGGTGTCGCATTTCTTACCCGCTCCGCCCCCGCGCTGGTTTCCCTCTCGTAGGACCACTTTGCTCGGCTGCCGGAGCTGAGGGTGGTGGAGTACGCGCACTCGTCGGTTCGCGTTCGGGGCGAATTCGCCACCCAGACGGGTACCCACACTTTCTCTTGGCAGGGAGCGGAGGGTGAGACGACGGTTGAGATGAGGATGCGCTTCGGCTTCACGTTTCGCAAGGACGACGACGATCACCACCACCCCGGTCGAACGAGCCGGTGGTCGATAGTGGAGCACTACTCCTTCGCTCTGCCCACAGCAACTGCTGTTGCTGCCGCCGCCGCCGCCGCCGCTGCTGCTGCCGCATCCGCGCCAGCGGAAGAACCAGTAGTAGAACCGACAGAAGCGGCCGCAGAACCAGCAGCAGAAGCAGCAGAGGAACCCGAACCACCAGCGGAAGAACCCGAACCACCAGTAGAACCCGAACCGCCAGCAGAACCGGCACAGGAACCAGCCGCAGCCGCAACACCGGAAGAGTCCAACGGAGACGGCGCGGTGAGGAGGACAAAACGCGATGGGCGTAAAGCGTACGAGGGGCGGTCGGCTGCTCTGGAGTGCCACACCGATGTGCAGTTTGGCCTACGCGCCATGATGTTTGGCGTCACACACACACACGAGTGTAGTGGGGGATGATGGCCATCGTTGACGTGTATGCGTTCATACACGAGACAGATAGGTGTAGGTTTTTTTTTTTCTGGGATGAGCCTCAAATGTCGCGCGACCTAGACCATAAGTTGTGGTGCGTGGTGTTCTCAATCATGACCGTACTGGCCGTCCATCTTGATGTTTGTTGCTTCTGCTGGATTGAACAGGTTGTCGACACCGCTACGCTTCAGGCCACAGCAGACCTCCTCGCGGAGGAGCGAACGATGCTAGCCCAGCAGATCCGCGAGCTCCAGCAGCGAGCAGAGAGCGCCGAGTCGCTGGCGGCCGAGCGAGCCGTGCTACGTGCGACGGAGCGCGTTTCGCGAGCGAAAATCGATGCCCAGCTCTTGGAACGCGCCAAGAACGCGGAGATTATCGCTGCCCAACGAGCCGAGCAGATCGCCGAGCTGCAGCGAAGCATCGCGAACGAGAAATCCCTCGCCGCGGAGCGCGCGCAACACAACATCGAGCTCGAGCAGGTCGCGCGAAACGCCAAGTCGCTGGCATCCCAACTCGCGACGGAGATGGTGGAGCTGGACCGCCAGGTGGACAGCGAGATATACATATAGGTACAAACTTCTTCGTTTCCCGCCAAGTGTTGGCTGGCTTTACCTGCTGGCGTGGAAGAGAAGCACCCGAGAGAGGGTGAGGGCGGTCCGGTCGAGAAGCCTTGCGATCGAATGTTACACCCTTCTCGCGGGCGGTTCGTGCAGTAGCGTAGCCGCGCAAAGGAAGTCCGAGTACATGTATAGAAGTGGCCTTGTGTAGAACGACTGACAGCCATCTTGCGCACGTGGGGTAAGTTGACAAGAGTAACCAGCTTACACAGTTGGCGACGCCACAACCGCATGGTGCAAGGTGACCAGCACCGTCACCATTATAGTTAACTAGGTTGTCCTCATGACGCACAGGGGCTGCTCGGAAGTGCCCAGAATTTGACCTCTTTGCAAGTCTTAGAATATGGACATTCGACGCTGGTTTGACGCCGTGTGCTTGTGTTGTTGGAAGGTGCGTACGGGCTGCGAGCCTTGGTGGCTCGACGGCCGATTGATTGATGTGGAAGAATCGTGCAGCCCCAGTCCTCTGTGCTAGATGGCAATGAAACAGGACAGTGGATGCGGTCGAAGTACGACTGTCGCCTTTGTCGCCTTCAAGCGAGAGATTGCTCTGTGGAGTAGGTCGGCAGCACGCGTGTTTGTTTCAAGAGCAACTTCTGTGTTTGGATGATACAAGGTATTCTGGAGCTGCAGTAGACCCTCTGTGACGTGGAGATAGTAGGATGAAAAGGTGATGTGTTCGAGCCCTGGTGTTGGCCTTGTTTATGCATAGCTTCACCCGGTTCGAAATCTAGTCCATGAGTTCGGTGGAAGGAAGTGCTCTTTGGGGGAGAGCACTTTGGAGATGATGGAATTGTCGGCTGGGGACTGGGCGCCGGGTGTGCATGGAGGGAAACTATAGACGCAGTCGATGATAACCAAGGATCAGCGATGATAACGGCCAAACCGCCGAGAGCACGTGACCTGCCTCCAGCTATGTCTATTCGGGTGCGTCCATTGATTACAAATCTCCGCAGCTTTATCGTGTTCCCACTTGTCTTCTCCACGACCCGTCCGCGTTCCTTCGTAGACGATGGCGATATGAGGGGGTCACTTGTCGTACTCGTCATTGCGGCATCGGCCCCACGGGCAGTTCGGGTGGGCGGAGAGTTCGCCGCGTGAATGGAACACGTACATTTCGAACTAGCATTACCAACAGTTCGGACTACTACCCTCTTTCGACCACCGAGACGGCTCGTTGCCGACGCGTAAGCCCCTTTGGTCTCCACGCGGGGTGGAGGTTATTCGTCTCCGTCACCGCACCAGCCCTTCCGCCGCTAGCACCCCCCGGTTGCTTGCTGCCCCCTCCCCTCCCCCCCTGTAGCCCATGGAGGCCAGCGCCATGATTGCTCCCGACTGCCCCCCCTGCGCCCGCAGCCTCGGTGAGGACCCACCTTTCGGGCACGGCTAGTTGTCTGGGCAGCTTGCCAGAAGCATTACCCCAGTTATCTTCTAGAATGTATTCAGTCGGGCTTCCGTTGCCACCGGTACTGCCGCGAGACCGGCCGGAGTTTGTGGTCCGTCTTGGTTGCGGCAGTCTGGTGGCAGATGCCCCCGTCTCGCCCGTGGAGGAGTTAGGGGTTGGCACGCGAGCCGAGGGGTTGGCGGGGGAGCCTTTTCTGCTGTGAGAATATACAACCGGCGGTTTGCTTTTGTGCGCCTCACCGGGAATCCATCGGAAAGGTTCTTCGTGCGGGCCTGTGGTCGCCGCCGACCGCCCCGAGACGGACACCGGCCGTGCCAGCCCCCTGGTTCCGCTCGAATCACCCCTCCCTGCCACCGCTACAACAACCGGCTGTCCCTCTCCCCACCCTCTAAGAGATTCCACACGAGATTGCGACGGCGCCAACGCGTCCAGGCCACCCGGGTGTCCCACCGGGTGCGTAAACGAGGTGTTGCTTGACTTCCGTCGCACGCTGTTGTGGTAGTCTACCTTGGCCGTCTGCGCGCGGCGGTAGTTGGTGGGGTGGTTTGGTCCGGCCATGCCGTCGCTCCCCCTGCCGGCCTTCACTTTCATGTCTTCTCTTGAGGCAGCCCTCGAAGTGCTCATGCTGCGATCCCGCGCGTTTGTGCCTCCTACCTGGAGGTTGTTGTTGTCGCCGCCTCCCGCGGGCATGACGGTCACCTCGGGAAGCTCGGCAGGCGAGTTCGTGAACAAGCTCTTATACCGCTGGTGGTCGGCTTCCTTTGCCATCTGCGATGTACGCCCGCTGTTGTGGACGGAATTCGTACCGTCGAAACCGACCTTGTAGCCACCAATTCCGCCATGGCCGGCGGCGGGTCCATCTAGGGTTGGAGTCGCTTGGCGGGACGGACCCCTCTCGGTGCCGGGGGAAGTTCTACTGAACGCCGTAGATGAGGGGGAAGCTGACCCAGCGTATCCCGGGGTCGGACGGTGTTGGTGCTCATGCAAAGGGTCCCGAGGATGGTTCTTTTCGGTTTCACGCGCCGCCTGTGTGTGAACGTGCATTCGGTGGAAAATGGCTTGTCTGTGCAAACAAGCGAGCTGGCTACGAAAACAAGGTTTCCGACAAGACCCTACACCTATCTACGCTTCATGGTTTTGTAGTTCCAGGCTGAACACGTTGCCAGAGAACCGAGAAACAAGAAACCGAGAACAAGCAACGAAAATGTCATACCCGGAAGTTGAGCGGAGTTGAAGGCATTTCCCCACCGCGGAGAAAGTTCGACAGCCGTTCTGCACCATTAGCCCCAGCGATCGCTTCCGTCCTTTGTGATCCCTTCAAGTTCCGCTGATGGCCGAAGCTTGCGGGCGCGCCAAAGCTCACTCGGTCGTCACCGTAGCCGTAAATTCCGCCACTCAATCCGGCCGCGGTCACCTTCGGTCGAGAGGAGTGACCTACGTTTCCAGAGAGGGAGGTACCGAGAACTGGAGCAAGCCCTCCGGTTGACAAAGACGATTGGTCTTGTCGGCTGTTCGAGTGTGCACCAGGGGCGGGCGGCAAAAAGAAACAAGGGGGCGTAATGTAACAACCATTGGTATCCCGAAAAGGTCTCGGCAGTTTCTTGCAGGGATTAGATTGACGATTACAAAGCTTTTACACGATATTCTCCGCTTTCGGGGAACAAGGTCGGGAACATTTTGGTGTCCCCGATCTTTGTCAAGACACTCTTCGTACTGTGGAGGTTCGAGGCTTCGGTGGAGATACAGTAGTGCACTTCACAGGGATCATGTCGTGAGGGCGGGTTGGTGCCGCTAAGAAAATAGCGCATTTTCCTCTCTGACATCTCGGTCGCTAGGTGCATTCTTCTCAACATAGCGATTGAGCAAACTTATCGATCGATGACCCATCTATTTGATGCATGTATGCCGCATGCTTGACAATCCGCACCTGTGCATCAAGCTACGCGGCTGGAGTCGCTTGAGACGGAGTCGCGCCGCTCGCTCGAGTTTCTTGCGCTCCCTCCGCTGGTCCGCGATCTCCGCTTCTATCCACCCTTGGACGCTTGCGTATTGCCTGTTCTTGACGGATATCTGCATTTGTTCCACACCGAAACACACGATAACGGAACCTTGACGCGAAGGCATTGTTTCTGGCAGGAGTACCATTCAGATATTCTCAAGTTCAATGCAGTGACTATTTTAGTGTGTTGGATGTGCGGAGGTTGTAGGTAACGCAATGGCGAAGAACGAACAAGCCCAGGTTGTTGTGTATAATAACACAAAAGTGTAGCACAGTGCCGGCCCTCTCCCGGGGGCAAGTGAGTGCAGGCGGCGACTTGACATTCAGGAAAGTGGGGATGAGGCTCAGAGGGCGATACATGAAACCCCGTCACGTATTGAACGGCCACCTTTCGTCTCCCCGGCAAGCAAGCCAGCCTTGTCTCTACTCACTTTCGGGGGGCACACTGCCACTCTAGCCATATCTATCTTCTGTGCTTGCCAAGCCCCCCTCCCGTAAACCCAGGTCGCCTACCTTTCTAAACGCTACCAGTACCGCATTTTATCAGATACCCGGCCGTACAGAACGACGACTTTCAACCGCGACAGCAGAATCAATACCCACGCGGCACACTTCGGCGGAAACGGGTTGACCCACATAACGTGGGCCACGGTAGTGCGAGTCTCCCTCACCTGGGGCAAATGGTGCACCCACTTGTAGCTCTTCATGGCCCGCTCCCACATGTTCTCATGCTGTGACAAAGCCACCTGGTTAAGAAGCAATTTGGTGGCGGAAAGGGTGACGGCCAAAGTCTTATGTTTAGTCCAAATTCAAGATCATTGTTTCCGCTTGTGCCGGCTTCCACGACTGCTCGAGAGATGTGATACGACACCAGTTGTAGGTGCCAGTCCAAGATGAATCGCCGCGGGTCACTGTGCTTGGCAAGAAAATTCTATTTACGTCACCGGTGTCGTTATTTCTTATATACGTCACCGCCCGTATCTCAGCCCACAGAGCTTCAATTGGCACAATATAAATTGCGTTGTGTAGCTATGACCCACACCAATCATACAAGCCTTTCGACGGTCAAATCCGATTCGTGGTTGCGGAGATATGCTCAAAAGGGGGCTCAGCGGTATGATATACTGTATCTGCCATAAATAAAACGACCGTGCCTCCTCGCAGAGAGTTCTCATCGACACCAACTATGTATCTCGCGTTATGTTTCCACGATTCACAGCCATCACTTAAGCTATTGGTGTCGATCGGAGCTCTCTGCGCGAAATTACAGTCGGATTTTTTTGTGGTAGATGCAGTATCATACTGCTGAGCCTCCTTTTGAGCATACCTCCGCAACCACTGATCGGATTTGACCGTCGAAAGGCTTGTATGATTGGTGTGGGTCATAGCTACACAACGCAATTTATGTTGTGCCAATCGAAGCTCTATGGGCTGAGACACGGGGCGGTGACGTATATAAGAAATAACGCCACCGGTGACGTAAATAGAATCCTCCGCTTGGCAAGCAGTATACCTGCAGACCGACGCTTTCTTTACATTACGAAACATCACGAGGGACTTAAGTTTCTGGGGTAGGAGACCTTTGAGTTAAATATCAACCTGAGACGCGATGTGAGTGCAGCATACTTTTGGTCTACTGACACAACCGGATAAACGCCGTGTAGATATCGACGACGGGCGAAAAAAGCACCAGAGACAGCTGAAACGAGTGAATCTGGTGTGAGTTACGCACCACAAGTCGCGCATTGGCGTCGGCGATCTTATTCACTTTCTGCCGACGCTTCACGCGCAATTGCTCAAGTGCGGGTTTGTCCAGTCCAGAGTCCTCCTCTATCTGCGCGTCTAGCTGCTCCAAAGCAGCTCCTTCCGCTGCCTGCCTCGGTAGGGATAGGATTGTCATGATGGGAGTAGATGGGTGAATGAGCGGCAGTACAGTATCATGGGAGTGTGCCCATCAGCACAATAATCGACCAGCTAGGCTTGATTCCAGGGTGTGGCACGTCTAGGAAAATCAACGGGCCATACGCTTGTTGGCTCTACATTCTCAGCAGTCGATTTATCGCGACGATGCGCCCAACAGGTTCCCAATCCGTGTTTACAGCCCGCACAACACTATGGCTCCGAATCTCTGTGGAACTCAGAAGATCGAGCCGTGTTACACTGCCGCTTTGCAGAGAATAAGTGTCTGGCGGATGTTCAACATCGGTTTGAGCGCAAACGAAAGTCAGCAACGTCCTATGAAGGATACAGCGTCGGCATTGGTTGTACAAGCCATCGCAGCACACGACAACGACAGGGACCACCGACCGACGATTGGCGCCGGCGCCAGGTTAATGGCCCATCAAGCCAATCATTCAAGGAAGTTTATAGTCCGGCGACTTGACTTGCCTTAAGCTGCTGAAGCTCTGTCACTTGGGCAACCAGGTGGTGTTCCCTCTCGCAAACCTCATCCAGCATTGTTTGAAGTTGTCTTTCCTGTTCAAATAACAGAGAACGATGTTGTAGGGTCAGGAAAGGTGGAGGACGTTGAGGTACCTGACCATTGTGGTCCTGAGAAGGCAGGATGAGCATGGGGCATGACATGCAACATAGTACAAGTTACGCACATGATCTGCGAGCAGAAACATGCAACACTTACAATGCCGGTCCCAGACATTCGACAGCCATATCCGCTTCAACCTCTTGAACCTCTTCATGTGCTGACCCCTTGCATTCCACCGTATGTTTTTCGATGAAGATACCACTAGTAGTATGCTTCACTTACGCCCAACTGAGAATGGTATGCTCCGTTAAACATGTCATCCAAGGACGCCCTCATCTAGCCTCACATTTGGCAATCCAAACCCATACTGCGATGCAAAGCATCAGGATCTACAGTGTTGCTTCTCATTCGAGATTTCCGGTGGACCAAGCCTGTGACTATCTATGGACTTGTCGCTGAACGCTGATGTTAATTCACGCCTTTGCGCAGAGTACATGTTTTGTTATCATGTTCGCTAGGTGTTGAGTAATACGAAGTATGAAACGGGCAGAGCCCAACAAACAAGATGCTTGGCCGCTTCTCGGATAGACGCCGTCAAACAAAAGTGGGAAAGTGACATATCTCCTACCTCTGCCGTCGGCAGTAGATCCTTCCGTTGGAAATTCAACACAGTGAACCAACCCACGTCTTTCACACCATTTTTTTGTTGGAAAACTGCAAGACCGTCCAAGTTGCGGGATGCAAGATTTCATCCCAGTTGAATTTAACTTCGATCGACATGATCGCACCGAATTCTTGGCTCTATCATGTGCGATGATGCTTGATGTGAAATGACAGGAACGGCCACGTCCAAAGCCGACATTGTTTCAACCATGAATGCCTGCCCACGTGTTTGATAGAACCATGACCTTCCTTCTCTCAAGTTACTTTCACCTTTTTTATTGCCTCTGCCACCTCGTCCAGCAAGCGATCCCTCTCCTCTAGCGATGTGTCCAGCTTTCGTGTCGTGTCCGCCAAAAATGCTCTCTCTTCACCAAGTGCAACCATCGCCTGCCACCAACGATCATGAGGTGTGTATAGTAGTGCCAATGCTGGCGCACTGCCCCTAACTTGCCGATTTAGCTCTCCTTCTATCGAAACTGTGCAACAATGAAGAGTACATCAGTTGGCGGCACCAACTTAGCAAGTTCATTCAGTATCCTTCAAACCATGCTGTTCTGGGCCTGTACAAGATTGTAGAATCGACTTCAATGAAATGACATGAAGCGGGTCTGCGACTGGGATTGTTGTTTCACTGCTGCGTGAGGTGTTCTTGTGATGTATCAGGCTAAAGGGGACATCAAATGAAATGAAAGTTATCGCTATCACGAATGAAAGACGCGGTACAAATTCACACGCAAACGTACTACTTTGATTTGCATGGAAAGTAATGTCAACGGCTTCTGGGGGCGTCAAATGGGATGATCACATTGAGCTGAACGGTGCACCTTCTGAAGTTCTTGTTCCAGATGGGGGTCAGTAGAAGGGGTTTCCACGGTGTTCGGAGGGCTCGATCCGGAATCCGCTGTCGCCAGAGCTGTTTTAAGGTCCGTGATCTCTCTCTGCAACAGGTCGATCACCCCCCCTCGCTCTTCGACCACATCACGTAGTCCCCGCGCCGTTTCCTTTTGATTCCACAACATCATATGGAATGCGGAAATGAATACACTCGGTAGATGGGAAACTACGAGAACACTGGGCTAGCATGCCCCCTCAGAGGAATGTGGGCTGGATTTCACAAGTATAATGCCCATGAGAGTGCACTGAAATCTGGTGTGACAGGCCACTTCCCGTATTTTCAACAAGATGGTCACAGTCCGACATGAGCGACACTTAGCAGTCTTTGTTGGTGTCACACGCAAACTGATAATCACACCTGACGCTGACGCATCATGCGACACCTTCCGCGGTAGAGTTGCGTATCCCACGAAACTTGCGTTTCCACTTCCTGTATTCCTGACGCCATACAGATGGCGCCTAAGAACTTCTAGTTTCGGCCGAGGCTGGGGTTCTTATTTTGCTGATCATCCTCTTGTGGGCTACAAATGGCCGCGATATAGGTTTTAGTGTGGGGTTCTTTAGCGAGCTCACAAATTGTGCTCAAGTTCTTAGCTTCTGATTCTTTGCGAGTCTCAATTACTTAACTGCTAACTTCTTAAGTGCGGGCGCTATCTGTATCACTACGCGTTGTTCTACGCAAAGCTGAAAAGCACCCAAACGAATTGTACGCGATAACAACCGATCAATGAATAGTAAAAACATGACTTCGAATACGTTCGATCTTGGAGGAGTACTGACGATGATTACCTCCATATCCCTCGCCCGCTCCCACGCTTCATCCACCTCCGCTTTCGTGACGCGGTCTTCGTGGTCGGAGGCATCATCTTCTTGAATCGGCTTTGGATGCAACGCTGGCGACGTCGTCGTGTCCTCTTGTCCTTCGGAAGTTGCCGTTCTTGTCGTCGATGTAGAAGCGTCATCTAAATTGGTACCATTCGGGAAGCACGTCGATGCGGAAGGGGGTTCCCGGTTGGGGCCTCCTCCTCAGTCATGAGTGAATGCCGATATCCTTTAGGTCTTTGCGGCATAGTTCCGAAAATCCGAATTCCACACCGATCGGTGTTTATGAACGTACCACGACAAAGGGTATCTGCGAAACGCACCATCTACAGTAGTTCGGGGAGCTTGAACTGTTCTGCCCACTCTTCTCGCCGAACCAACGTCGACCAAATAGCTGAGCGCTCACCAACTCTGACCTGCTTACCCCTACCGCTTTCGTGCGCGACGAAAGCGCAGCGTCCTCTGTCGACTCAGTAGTCTAGGCTTTGGCGGTTTCCGGAGGTGGCGCTCTAATCCCCATTGCGCCCCACACCCCACAAATAGCCACAATAGCCACTGCTCACTAGCGCAATTACCGGGTTCTACCACCACCAATGCACAACTCACCTTCGGCTTGGAGCCCGGAATCGATATTCACGCCCGCTTCTTCCGTCGATGGAGTTTCTTCTACTTCTCCTTCGCTCGCCGCCACCGACACCCTCTCCGAGGCAGGCTCTGATAATTCCTCCTGGCCACTTTTGGACGACCATATGTCATCATCGGGCGGTAATTCTTGAGGAGTCGGGGTCCCAAGCGGAACTCTTGCAGCAGGAAGGCTAGCCTTGTCGGCAGATGGTGGCGCCACCGGGTTAGGCGGATCCTGGGGCAGCGTACCACGACGTTGGCGGGCTTCGGCGGTACTGTGCTTGCTTGAGACCGCCGCCGCCGCCGCTACTGCTGCTGCCGCTGCGGAAAGCTCACGGAGCAGGCCAGCGACGACATACTTGGTTATCGCTGTGACCCTGTCGATGTCTACGGAGAAGGCGTTGGTAACGATCGGGAGGGGCAAGTCTTCCAGGTGCATGGGTATTTCTAGGAACTCCTCATCCTGGAGCATCTTCAAGATCGGGTCGTTTTCCTCGGCGCTGTTGGCAGTAGAAGCGATGGCGTTGTCGATGACAGGGGTATCAGAAACGTCAGAGGCAGTGGGGCGTGGTTTACCCTGTGCTTGCGACATCGTTGTGAGCTCCTGGGAGGACAGGGGCTCCGCCGGTGGCTCGGCCGTTCTCTTCTCTGCGCGGGACTTAAGGACGTCGCCGACTCCTTCCCAGAGAAGCGTCACCGCTCGGTGGAGGTCGGCGGCAGCCTCGAGATGACCTTCAAGCCCCTCGCTGCTCGGTACCAAAGCCGCCATGTCTTCCAGTTCCTCCACCTTTGACCGGGACTACTTGTACGTGTGACAGTGATTTCGTCACGCACGGGAGAGTGAAGTAGAGCAAAGGGGGGGGGAGGCTACTCATAGTCGTGCATGCCGTAGTCGTTTGGCCGTTGACCTCGCATCCCTTCAAAGCCGGGAAGGAGCACACCGGGCTCTCACCGGACCAGGCTCTCACATTACCAAGCGCGAAGCGCTGTGAGGTATTCGGCGAGTCGCATGAAGGGTTCGCTGCATCCTGCTAAGGGTGTTCGGCATCTTGTGCTTACTTCCTTGCGTACGGATGGCAGCTGCGTATGACTAAAATTATTTTCTGGTGCTTTCACTTCCAGAGACAGTTGTAAGCACTGTGTAACTGCCTCGAGGGTGCTTGACCATTTTAACACAACGTGGTGCGATCATCCCCCTTGCGCGGAGTGAGGGTTCTCGACCCCGCACAACATGACCTACTCGACCATCACTATGGTTACCGCCAAAAAAAACAAAGTGAATTGGCTTGTTTTACAACGTCGTTTGCCAAGGAACGAAAACCCAATCCCGATGGCAAACACCGGGGGGGGGGG